AGCATCTTTAATGAACTGCAATAGCATTGATCATACTTTACAAATCGATATTATTTTAAAAAAAACGCTAATATTGTTATTAACTACTAATTTAAAATATTCTGTGTATATAAACATGTCTATATATAATTGTAGAGCCTGGAAGAGGAATTTATCGAAAAGAATATTCTTTGCTCGATTATTTTGTGTTTTATAGATGTCTGAATGAATATTTTTGCTATATCTATAACTCTCCAAGACTCAAACCATCCGTCTTTTTGATGCGTTGCAGCTGATGACTTTTTCACTATACAAAAGCCAGAACTAATCTTCATTCTAATATACTATCAGTATATTATTATTATTCCACTGAGTTCACGCAAAGGTTGGGATATCTAACGTGTTATGCCTTGTCAACGGTCTCCTCACTGTGTGTCCAATCAACCTCTTTTTCCTTCTATGCATATTTGTTAGGTATCGTTGGTTCGTTCTTAGACTTCCTTGTTGTCAGTCTTTTCTGGCCGACCATCGGATCTTCAGTATCGAATGAGAGGTTTCGCGTGCATTGCGGATTGTGAGGGCGATTGTTACTTCCCGGCTGCCCACACCGTGGAAGTTGGTTGCGTGACCGCAGAGCCCAGAGGACAACTGCTTGAGTCCGGTCACACACGGCCTGTTTTCGTTTGTTGTTTTTCATTTGGTGTGTCTCAGTAGCATATTTATCACTTCTGCCCTGTGACACGGCAGCAGGAAGCGCGGTCGTTGTTAATCCGGGCCCCGACCGATCCGGCATGATATTTTGTGATTTATTTTGAGTCATAGGATTGGGTTGGGTAACTGCTATCCAAACATGGTAGGACCTACAGGAAGATAAGTTCCAGCCAGTATAGCTTGTTGGGTCATTGCGGTGTTCAAGCCCGACCACCACGTCAAGGTAGCAGCCTTCGGTCGGGTGTGTGTGTCCAATCAACCTCTTTTTCCTTCTCTGCATATTTGTTGGGCTCGTTTCGTTGGTTCGTTCTCAGAGTTTTCTGTTGTCAGTCTTTTCTGGCCAACCATCAGATCTTCAGTATCGAGTGAAGGCACGGAGATGTTGATGAAAGTCTGCATTAACCATTTGAGAATGCGTTTCTTGATGCATCCGGCGTCCGACTTCACCTTGGTGAAGTGTTGAAAATTCGGATCTTGTTTACTGCAATAGATTTCCACGCTAACTTCAGAGTGATGAACCCTTGACTGTCTGTCTTGCTTTTCTTATCTTGTCTGGCTTCGACATCCTCATCTTCACTACCTGTTGTTGAAATAATGCTGCCCAGATTGTGTAAGTGTAAGAGGTGACTACTTCCTTTAGATAATTTCTCTCTCGTGTTGATGATTCGTGCTTCATGTTGTTGTTGATGTCACCTCTGTCTTCTTTGCAATTTTCATTCATTTGAAGTCGTATTTTCGCTGCCTCTTTCGTAATGAAGATTAATTTCATAGGATCTATAACATATTATTATTTATTATTATCATTGTTGTTGGCCCCCTCGGGTTCTGAGTGGAACGTACGGCTTCAACAGAACCTCTCCACTTTGTTCTGTTTTCTGAGGTCCTCTTTAGCTGGACGACCCCACGATTATTGACCATAATCTCTCATCTCCTCCTCCCCGTACGATCTCCTCCATGTCACCCTCAAAGTGACGCCCCCCCCCGCTCATTGTTTCCCATTCGGGTGTCACTCGAGCAATGGCCTACATTGAGCGCAATGTCATTCGATGGTCTCCCCGGCGTGTTCCCAATGTATCTCCATTTCCTCCTCCTACATATTTGTTGAGCAATCGGCTCTCGCCTGTTGGTTTGTTCCCCTAGTTTCTTGTAGCTAATTCCTTCTGGCCATTTGATCCCTGATATGGGGCGAAGGTGGCTGGCTGTCTACAGAAGTCTTCAAACTGTTGGAAATGCTTTTTTGTAACACACTGGGCAAGTTTCTCACCCATATAGAAGAACTGACTGGCTAACACAATATTTGATGCTGAAAATCCGAATCTTGTTCTTTATGCTGGCTGAGGCCGAGTGCAGAGAAGATTTCCAAACGGGTTTCAGGACGATGAAGGCGTATCTTGGCCTTCCGATTCTTGTTGTCCATGACTTCTTCATCCGTTCCGCCTGTCTTTGGTTGAAACAATGCTTCCTAGATAAGTGAGGCCAGGAAGCAATCTCTTTCAAATCTCTCCCGTTGATTGTGATTGGCGCTGGTTGTTATCGCTGTTGGTTAGTTGGTTATCTTCATCACCTGAAGTCTTGTCTTGCTCTTCTAACCCTTTAGAGCGAAGTAAAATCTCAGTTTTTATTTCTTCCGAATAAATGTCAAACTTCTACTGTTTACAGCGAATGAAATAATTATGCATATACATATATACATTATAGATTGTTTTCAGCATTGTCCGAAAACAGGATTCTTACTGTATCGTTAATATTATTATTATTGTTATTTCTTAAATACAATACTTAATAATAGGGGAAGTAACCTTGAAAATTGGTGTGTAAGTGCTTGTGTGTGTGTGTGTTGGAGGTAGACAAAGAGGAGAGTGAAGGAAGCTGCGGGTATCGGAAGTACTGGCTGGCTGGCTGGCTATACGAATAAAAGGCAAATGAAATATAATAAATTACTAGATAAAAAGGGTGAATGACACGCGAAAAGATCTTACTAGAATCCAGAAGGAGGTATGTTTCGTCCCGTTGCGGACTCTTCGGCTGAATTCCATCTACACTTTTAATCACCCTTAACCACTCAACGTTATGTTAACCACACAACTACATTGTTTTTGTAGCGTGTGTTACTGACAAGGATTTGTAAGTAGTATATTATGTGGCTGATATTGTCTGCAAGAATTTTGAATAGCGGCGTGGCAGATCAAGTTACAAAGAGGAGAATGTTGCTCGGTGGAGGGGCGATTTCGTGTGCTCTTGGAAGTGTATGGGTGGTTGTTACTTCTTGTCTGCCCACATCGTGGGGGTTGGTTGATGCTTCGGCTGCTTGAAACAGAAAGAGAGTTAGTATTGCGTGACCGCGGAGCCCAGGAGACAACTGCTTGAGGCCTGTTAAACACGGCCCTTATGAGCTGGTTTCTTGTTTTGGTTCCGTATTAGTAAACTTACCTACCGCCGGCTACGGACCACCGTGGGGTAAGTTGGGATGTACAATTGTTGGGGTCGACCTTTTCTAATCCCCTTTCTCCCTCCGGAGTGGAGAGACAGTATAACTAGCATGCTGGTCATCTGAGGGAAACACTTCACTGCTGTTACATCCCTGTTCCCTAGCAGTACGACTTCGCTCACAGACCCCCCCCCAGCATAGTGTAAAAAACATTTCTCACACTAAGCTGGTAACTTCTTTT